CTCAATTAAAACATTTATTCCACTTATCACAAAAACTCGTTTAAAAATATATTCGAAATCATTCAACTGTAGTCTATTTGGTACAAGGTTACGTTGATAATTCTTGTTAAATCATATTTAAATAAAATCCATTCATCTGGCGGCTCGTTACGTTGCGTTAAGCGTCCGACGAGTTAAAAAACTAGGATTTTCAGAAATCGTAGTGGAAAATTTTCTTAGATTTAACCGGAAGTAACATTCCATAGCTTGGATGTGTGATTTAAGTAAATAAAATTAATACCCTATATTTCATTTTATTTTCCTTATCGAATGCCACTGATGCGTGTAACAAAAAACTCTCGTGAAATAGCAGGGTACTACGTGACAGTCAGCATGGTTTCAATGAAATACAATAAGTATAATTTACAACTTATAAAAACTGCGACCGTACTTGTTTGTGAGTCAATTTAACGTAGCAGATTTTTTTAATGCATCTCGCAATAATTAGCAGTTTGATAAAATATTGCAAATGATTTTTTCGTAACGTTTGCCGATACCAATTTTTTCAATAATACAGTTGCATATGTTTATGACAGCAAAGTTCAATATTTTTATAATTATTAGTTTAGTAGATACTTTGTTATAATACAAGTCTTCTATTTTCTTTTTATTCCTATTTTAGTGGTATTTAATTGATAACTGAAAAGTAATAAAACCTATTTCTTGATTGTAATGAAAAAGTATAAATAAATTAAAATAAAAATTATTTATTTCCTTACGAATATGAAGAAAAATTTATAAAAATAGAGAGAGTTCGAAAACGGCAAGTAAAGCATTACATTACAACTTGCAAATTTTTTTAATGTATGAAATATGCATCCATATAAAGGACTATTATTCTTAACATTTGCACCTCCTAATATTTTCGTTTATGGATTTGGTGTCATTCCTTGTCGTTCGCAAATGAAATTCTTTTTTTTTTCTTTTTTTAGTTTATGAAGTCGCTGACCCTGCCATAAACATTCATAATCTAACAATACAACGCTGACAATATTGTTAGTTAATTTAAATAAAGTATCCCTTAATGCACAGCTCTATATAATGAAAAAAAAAATGATATCTAATCCATAAATAAAATATTTAGAAAGTGGCCGTATGAAATTGGCATTATCAGAGATCAGAGACTTGACCTTTCTCCCGTTTTGATTAAAATATGCATTTTTCTAATAATTATCAAAACATATAGCTTCCCCTGAGACGGCTCCTAAGGATAACAATTGTGTTTTGGTAGATATTTTTTTACTTGTCATAAAAAAAAGTTGTATAATTTTTACTACCACAACAGAACATTTATAAAACGAAAAAATATGCATGTCCACCAAAAAAAATAAGCAGCAGAAGCCTGAATCTAAATGTACTTAAAAAATATATATACTTGAGATCTAAAATTAAGCAATTGTGAATTTGGTGTCGCCCAATATTGTCAGAGAATGTTGGAAATAATTGAAGTAAAAAGTGATATTTCATTATACCGGAGGCTATAAACACAACCTTTATAAACCGAGACGAACCAAATATTATGCTTTACCAAAGGCGCGAAGGATGTCAGAAAATAATACTCATTTTAAGAAAAGGAGGTGCGCAACGCGCATGTCTGCCAAAAAAATAAGCTGCGGAAGTCCCAATCTAAATGTACATAAGGAAAAAAAAAACAAATTTAATACCGAAAATTAAGCAATTGTGAATTTGGTGTCGCCGATATTGTCAGAGAATTTTAGAAATAACTGGATAGATATAACATTACGTTATATCTCACAAGAGATAAAGAGACGTTATATCGAGGGTTATACTTACAAAATGGTAGTTTAGCCGAACATTGCTTGTCTGAAAGATAGTGGCTTTAGAGGCATTCCATACCCGTTATTAAAAAGTTACTTAAATAATCGAAAACAATGTGTTCAAATTTAAAATCTTAAACAAGGCACAATTAAAACTGCTCTATCATGCACTTATTACAACCCATATTAGATATAGTATAACAGCCTGGAGAGGTGCATCTCTTTACCTAATAGATCAATTATAAAAAATTCGAAAATGGATCTTAAAAGTAATTTACAAGAAAACAGTTTCCAACACAAGAATTAGGTGATTTGGCAAAAGTTCTCGAGAAGACTATAGCTTCGAAATGCCATATATACCTTGCTCCAAAATTGTATAAATGCCTCCCTGAAGATATTAAACAATTAAGTTCATTAAATTTATTTTTTTGTTAGTTAAGTAATAATTTTAATACTACCGTTGATTGGTTGATTGTTGGTGATGCTATAGGCAATTAATTGTGTTACAAATTCGCGAGATGAGATTTTTTTAGTAGAAAAAAAGTAGAATAACTGTATGTTATTTAATGTTTCCATAAATATATTATTATTATTATTATTATTTGGTAGAGCAAATTAATATATTATATATATATTATTATATCGCAATATAAAATATTATTTATTAATGAATTGATTGATATCCAGAAGTTATTTCTTTAAATATTTAATAAGATAAGAAACTTAGTACAAATACAATATATATGCTAAAATCGATACCTATTAATTATAATAAAATGTTGGTAAACATCAAGTACACAAGCCAGACGGAGACTAGAAAAAAGCCAGATGTTATGGCCAAGAAATATTAGACACCATTAAAAGGACTCCTTTATTGCCGCATGCATGGAGATAGACATTAGCCATGTGGTGGACGGTACCGACGAAGTCAGAAACAGAAGTTCGCGAGAATATTATACATTTAGAAACACAAAAAATAAACGTATCATACAGCCTGTTTTAAATTTTACTTAATATTTGCAATTTCTGAAATGGGGATATAACAAATACAAGATGCTGGTAAATTAGTTATACTGGAAAAATTTATAGGAGTTACAAAGGAAAGACGAAACCCAATTGAAATGTTTTTTCTTAACTTTCGAAATGAACTTATGAAAAACTAATAACCCATTAGGATATTTAAGTTTTGGTTGATTTTTGGGCCACATTTTCTAAAGGGTACAACAAGATCTGAATTCGAACCAAAATACTTGTATACATATATACATCTACAGCTGCGGCCGAACTTCAGTTAAGATCTTAACAGCACCAATAAATTTTGTCTATCCGCCTCTATTATATTTTGTATTCCTACGCAGAAGATATAAAAACCTACGTGGAAATTATCTAACAGGTAAAGGGGCCTGTAATATACCGTTCCATGACAAGCAGGATTAAAGTTATTGTTCACGAGATTTATGACCAAATTACTTTTAAAATCTCCCTAAAGTCCACAAAAATCGTAGGCTTAATGTACGTTTTGAAAGGATTTTTCGACCTTTCTCCAACACGTAGATAGACAAAACTGATTTTACGTTTCATTGCGTACATGTTGGATTGAATGAATTCTCGCTACATTCGGTAACAAAAATGGTTCTTACGAATTTTGATGACTGAGAAATCTCGCAATTTTCAGTTTCAAAAAGACTGTGGTAAGAATTATGATGTACCAATGATTAGCAATATACCTCGAAAAACACTTTAATAAAACAAAAAAAATATGCGCATAGCCCATCCTTTATCTTTCGAACTTGATGAAATCTTTTCCCCTTCAGCGGGTCTTACAAAGGAAATTTAAATTTTGCCTTCTAATAGAAATTTAATAGGTATGAAGATAATTTCAGAAATTTTGAAAAACTGTTTTTATATATATCTTGCGTATCCTTCGCTAGTAATCACGCAATTGAAAATGATATTTTAGCAAAATTTCCGTGGATCTGTCAACTTTCATTTTCTGTATACCGCTGGATTTCTTACACTTAAGGTAACTTCACTTTCCTCCTCAACATGTGAATTGCCGTTTCGGCGATGTTTCTTGACGCTCACGCTCCACAGACTTTTGTGTTTTCTTGAATATAAAAAATTTATCCTGTGTAAATAATAATTTTCCTCTACGCCACATTGTATTATACAGATGACAAGCGGTGGAAAAGATCAAATCTTGGAACCTGAAACTTGAGCAGGAAATAACGGACAACAGGTTGCAACAGAAGGCGGGTGTAACCGTCGATTATTGGCTTATAAAACTGTAGTACTTCTGTAGTTGACGATCCACACTACAAATACTAAATGCTATTGCATTAGTTGTAATTACTCGCAGTTATGCAGGTTCTCAAAAGTTTTAGAAATTTATATTTTTTATTGATATTGTTTTTGACACACTAAAGTCTTTGGTTGAGAAATTTCCATAAAGACGTCACTTAGGCCCCTTTCGATATTGTGTTGTGTTAGCAAAAGGTAACAATTATTTGTTTCTCGATCTCCTCTGTAAAATGCCTAATTACACACCGATTTAGCGTGCGGGAAGCGTCACTGTACCACGTCAGTTTCATTTCCCACGGATCCGAGCCACTTCGGCCAATTCCGGGATTTTACCGCACGGGTTTGGAGGCCATCGGATGTTTTCGGCGATTTTACCGTAGGGCTTGAAATTTGACGTTTGTCGAGTCTGACGGCCATGTCAGTGAATATATTCGTGTTGTTTTGCGAAAATGTACCCAAAAACTAATGGTCGTAGAAAAGGTATAGTATGCAACACGTTCGGTAAAGTTTTTAAGTCACTCGTTTATTAAACACTCGCTCCGCTGGGCTCCGCTCGTGAGTCAAATGCTATTTACCGCACTTGTTGCACAATATACTATTAATTTTCTCATACAAAGTTATTGATTATATTATTGTATACCGTGCATATGTCAGATATCAAAACTAAGAACATGGCAATTAACTCCGGTGGCTCGTAATTTCTGCGCTTCTAACGGCTATCAATTCCTGCAAGTTCTAGATAATTTCGATCCCGAAGAAGAAGAGTCAAAATAAAATTTACTTCATCGGAGTTTAAAATGTTTTATCGGATAATTAACAAACGCTGCTTGGTTATTCCTTTTTTTTTCTATTTATGACATAACTTAAGCAAATATAACTTACATAGGAAGTTCGGGTTATTCCTCTCAAGTATTCATCCGCATAACTATAATAATCTTAAGCATTAAGCCGTCCACTACAATCACTAATAAACTTCAATACCGTACTACGAGCCGGTTCAAGAACCACAACACGTCAACCAGCTGAGTCGTGCGATAATAACAACAAACGAACAACGCGTCCGTCTCGCTCTGCGTACACACACAGTCTTGTGAAAGCAAAAATGGATTAAGTTGTGTTGGGAAGAGGCTGACAGGCCGCTCGAGTACCTGAACAAATGTTTTCTCTCTTTCTATCCCTTTTATAACCATTCCTGCGCCGTCTCTTTTATTTTGAATCGGAAGAATGGGCGCAGCTGCTCTCGAATGGCTTAAGGCGGTCATTGTTATAATTTCGTTCGGATCATTGCCGTACTTGGTGGTACCGCATGGTGTTGATATTTTCTACTTGCATTTACGATTTTTGCTTGAAGTCCATTACAGCCACCGAACTCTAGACCTTACGGAACGAAGTCAGCTGAAAAAAATGAAATATACTCCTGTCCATATTCAACAACCACCCAAAAGGTATTTTGATTTTCTTCATATTCGGTTTCTTTAATTCCCATAAGGAAATCGAACTGTGTAGGTGTGCGTAATTGGACTATGCTCCTGTATGTTAAGACAAAAATACGTAGGCAATTTAACTCTTTATAAACCAATGAGCATTCATACAAAACATAAATTTCGGCGAAACCATGTAGATGTATGTAATTTTGACTGAACTATGGATACCTGCCTGCCAAGTGAAATAGGTTTTGCTGATTTTGGACGATAAAAACTTATAAACATATTCTAAAATTGTAGGATTCCCATTTTGGGAGTATTTGTTTAATTGCGTAAAACCATTATTGTATTCTAAAATTCTATCTATTTCTTAATTTTTTTAACAACAAATTCGTTCTACCAGATTGTGTTACGGCTTTTCGGTAAAAGGTCATTGGTTATTCTTATCGTCGTGACAATAAATTGACAAGGAGTCGACATCGAGCCTCCAAACACTGAATCTGAAAAAGTTTATCAAATGCATTCAATATTTTCTGAACAGGTTTATCGTTCATATTTCGAACAGATCGAGGTACTGTACTGGGTACTGAGAAAGATGAAGATATCAAATCAGTGCCATTTAATTCAAGAATATAACTTAATACTTCTTGATTTATTGATATTTAAGAAGTTAATCTCCACCATTATATTAATCTCTATATAGGTTCTTCAACATATTGGAATACTTAAAGTCATTCCAGTTTTACCATCTAATATTAAACTTAACATGGAGTCTATACTCAAAGTCAACTATATTTCTTTGTGATAGATGAGTATTTCTTCCAACGCTTTTTAAAAATACTCATAGATGAATTTCGTCGCTAAGGCTTCCGTTTGAAGTGCAATCAATAATGCAAAACATATTTTATTTTCCAAAGATAGATTGTCAAAATTGTTTTTTAAATGTTGGTTCATATTCAAAATGACTTTAAAATAACAAAAGATCGAATACTTCCGACAATCCGACGGTATAGGAAGCACCGAGAAGAAATAAAATTGAAAATCGATTTTTTTGAATGATAATGTAGAAATTAAGCATTGTTATTGTCGTTAAAGACAACTGTTAAGTATTCTGGTGTTGTTTTTAACTTTTGAATGCGGTTTGTATATATAGGTTTAATTTAAAACTAAATAACAATAAATAAAACAGCTTGTAAGTGGAATTATAATTTTTTTTCATTTAAATAACTTAAGCTTAAGCTCTCGTACTACAGGTACTATTGAAATGCCTCGGATATAACAAATTTAATTATATAAACGTTAGCAGTAAAAAGATTTGGAAGTTTCTAAAGGTTATTTACAAATTTGTACTTTTACGTATATTCTGAAACTAACGAAGATGTTCAAAAACTGAATGTTAACTATTTTAGAAGTTTTTGCCAGTTCTGTAGGTGTATAATAATTCTTTCTGTGATATCATATTGTATTTTCATTTTGTGCGAGTTTCCAATATTTACTTCATTAAAATGAGTCTTTTCCCAATTTAGTGCAATTCTTGATTCGCATAATTTCATCAATTTCATCAATCGGGTATGGTCGAATAGACCATACTATATCTATCTTATATCTATGAATATAGATATAAGAAAGTGAGCAGTGAGTAAGTGAATGGGATGCAATGCAACAAGATTACCTATAGTTTCGAAATTTAAATTCAGGTAAAATTGTGGTCCGTAATAGAAAATAATTTTTTACCTACCTGTGTTTAATATTCTTTGGTTTGGTATACTACTTAGTGTAAGTTTATTAGTAATCATTCTTATTTCGTTTGTAATACAGCGTGTGTTGAATCGTGTGCGAATTATGCAAAATATGTGCGAGTCTAGTGTATCTCAGGAGATGCTCCCGCCCAAATGTAGAAAAATACTATTCTATTGAGACTAAGGAAGTTATTGGGTTGTTCAGAAAGTCATTTCGTTTTTTTTGGGGAACATGAAAGACAGTTTTCGTATAATGAATAAATATTTTATTAAATTATATATTGGCCATTCTGGTCCAACACCTTTTGCCATCTTTCTGGCAGTAACATAATTCCCCTCTCATAAAAGTTTTGGTCCTTGCTGGCAAAAAACTGGTTCAGGTGGTTTTTGACATCTTCATTTGAGGTAAAGGTTTTGCCATCCAAAAAATTTTGCAGGGACCGGAACAAATAGTAGTCCGAAGGCGCCAGATCTGGAGAATATGGTGGATGTTGCAGTACGTCCCATTCAAGCTGTAAAAGTTTTTGGCGAGTGACCAAACTTGTGTGAGGTCTCGCATTATCCTGGTGGAACACTACACCCTTCCTGTTGATTAATTCGGGCCTCTTCTCTTTAAGTGAATCATTCAATTTGTCCAGTTGATGACAATAGACTTCTGAATTAATCGTTGTATTGTCCGGCAAAAGCTCAAAAAAAAACGATTCCTTTGACATCCCACCAAACGGAGAGCATCACCTTTTTTTGGTGAATGTTGGCTTTTGACACGCTTTGAGCCGGTTCATCTTTTCTGCTCCATGACCTCTTGCGTTTAACATTGTTGTATACAACCCATTTTTCGTCCCCAGTAATAATCCGCTTCAAAAATGGATCATTTTCTTGACGTTTGACTAGCGAATCACACACGTCAACGCGACGACACAAATTTCGCTCCGTAAGGATATGGGGCACCCACACATCGAGCTTCGAGGTTAAGCCCATGCCTTTCAAATGGCCATAAACAGTCGAATTCGACAAATTTAATCTCTCACCGATCTCTCGTGTGCTTATTCGCCGATTTGCATCAACTAATGCCTTTATCGCTTCTTTGTCAGCTTCGACCGGCCTTCCAGACCGTGGTGCATCTTCGACATCAAAATTGCCGGATCGAAATTTTGCAAACCAGTTCTGGCACTGGCTTACTGTTAACACGCCTTCTCCATACACATCCGTCAATTTTTTTCTCGCTTGGACAGCATTTTTACCTTTTCTGAAGTAAAAAAGTAAAATATGACGAAAATGCTGCTTATTGCTCTCCATATTTAAAAGGGCACCAACCAAAAACTACTGCGTAGAATTAATAGAACTTTTTCACACACAAGCCTTGCAATATCAGCTCTCAAGACATATAATGGTTATGCGGCTTAAGTGTGAAGTTGGTTTCGAAAAAACGTAATTAAGTCCTCTGACGGGAAAAAACGAAATGACTTTCCGAACAACCTTATACAAACAATGTTTATTTCACTTTATTTGACTCTCATCTCTCTCATCAACTTTAGAAGAAAGGGCCACATTGAAAAAAATTCCAACACCAACTGTATGGAAAATTGTGAATAATCATCCCATTTCAGCGAGTGATCAAGATATAATACGGCGTAAAATTTACCGGTTATACGAGGAACAAATCCTGCCTATATTAGATATCTTAATTAGGAGGCTTGAAAAAGATGAAACCGATGTTAAATGTAACAGAACTACTTTATGAAAGTGTATTCAACACATGGGATTTAGATTTAAAAAAATTGACAAAAGGCAAGTTTTAATGGAATCTTTTAGAATTCGGAAATGGCGACTGGAATATCTAGAAAAAATTAGGATTTACAGAGAACAACAAAGGCCAATTATTTACTTGGATGAAACCTGGTTCGACACTTGTGATACCCCTGAAAAGAGTTGTGTTGACTCAACTGATAAGTGTAAAACAAACGCTCCATCAAAAAGAGGTAAAAGAATAACTATTTTGCATGCTGGCTCTAAAGATGGTTGGATTCCAAATGGACTTTCTGTCTGCGAAAAATATTAAAGACTCTTCTCTGGATTACCATGAAGACACCACCGCTGATTTATTTGAAAGTTGGTTTAAAAACAAACTAGTTCCAAACATTCCTCCTAATCGTCATTGTAATGGACAATGCAAGTTATCACAGTAGATAGTTGACTAAAACCCCTTCCTCATGTGACACAAAAGCAACAATCAAAAACTACATGTATAATAACGGCATTTATTTTCACGAAGATTATGCCAAAAAGCAATTAATTGAGCTTTTACAAAGCTTGAACCTACAAAAGGAATAGGTCTGTGATAATTATGCAAACAATCTAGGGCATACAGTTTTAAGGCTTCTACCTTACCACCGTATATTTAATCCCATTGAACATGTTTGGCACCAACTGATATCTGCCATTCGTCGTAACAATGTTTTTCCCCGTGTTAACTCCAATGTCTTCAAACTTATAGAAACCGATGTTTTTAACATTCCTCCACGAAGTTGGGCAAATTCTGTTAAACATATAGAAAGAGCAGAACAATCGTATATCCATAATATAGAACAATTAATAATTAGAACAGGCGACGATAGCGATAGTGATACTATATACCATGTGAATAATTTTAAGTAATTTAAGTAGGTAATAAAAATAATTTGTAATTTTATTTTAGATTTAAACATAAATACATAAATAAATAAATAAATATTGTTTAGTATCTTTCCTAACAAAACCCCAAATAATTAAATTTACTCCTTGCCCGGGCCTTTCCTTAATTCGTATCAGTTATATCTATGAACAGACTTTATACAAACGAATCACGACTCGTAGTTACTCTTGCCCTTTATCTGTTCACGGTGTCGCATTTCTTGTCCGACCACCACCGTGGCAATAATTTAC